TTATGAAGAATGTATAAACAAGAAAAATAATACATCACTTTGGTATGTATTGTAACAGCATAAACAGAAGATGCCAGGAATGGGGCAGAGTGCTTGAGGGGGAAAGCACACCTTCCCCAACAGGGCAAAATGGTTCTTTTCAGATCTACAGAATCCATATTAAAGGTTGATTGGCTAATGTAGGGTATGGGACAGAAACATACTTGAAATCATGGGCCTGCATGTAGGTATACAGGAGTGGTAGATCATTCCAACTCACTCTCACTTATTGACCTACAGCAATGTTTGTCAAAGTATGGTCCAACACCCACTGGATGTCCTCAAGGAACTTCCTGATACAAAAATGCAAGTTTTCTTCGTTCTTAAAGGTAAATGGGAATTAATTCCTTAGATTTTTCACTTTTATACATAGTCAAAAACTACTAAATGATTTATTAAGAATCAGTAACATTTTGTATTTTTCTGAAACCGTGGTTTAATGCATAATCATCAAGTCTGGCTGCCACACCACATTTGTCCACACTGCAATTTCCAACACAGAGAGAAGTACTTCCTGCAACTTCAGAATAACAATTTCTTTCTAGTGCTTCATCAGTCCCAAGACTTTCAATTGCTGCTATCTTTGTGTTCATTGACATAATTGTAGAATTGTTCTTAAGGTTTATCTTTGTTAATCATTTTGCCTGTAATTACTACATTGCTACCATTTAATATTTATTTTGTTCTTCTCCAAATTGTTATCACTGAGTCCTTTTACCACTGGAAAAAGAGATGGTAAGGGTGGGTTATGGCATCTTGTTTTGCTCTTTTCTAAAAATTTAAGTATTGCCCTAGAGCAGTGGTTCTCAACCTTCCTAATGCTGCGACCATTTAATACAGTTCCTCATGTTGTGGTGACCCCCAAACTATAAAATTATTTTTGTTGCTACTTCATAACTGTAATTTTGCTACTGTTATGTCTTAGGCAACCCCTGTGAAAAGGTCATTCGACCCCCAAAGTGGTTGCGACACACAGGTTGAGAACCACTGCCCTAGAGGAACTGTTTGATCTCACCTCACTCGTCCATAAATGATGCTCTGGACATCCCATATATCCAGAGGCCATCTCTGGACCTGTGTTTAAACCAATACATTTCTGCCACCTCCTTGAAAGTATCCCTGACCCTAAATCATCATGAGTTCCTCCTCTCTTAAGTCATCAAATTGTTTATCTCAACTGCCTAGATGTTAGTGGGTCATAAACAGCTGTGGGATATCTTGAATCACTGAATTCCTATCTAATTCTTGAACTGCTATCTACCTTTTTTTTTTTTTTATCCTCACCTGAGGACATTTTTCCATTTTTTGTACAGATAGAGTGGGAGGGAGAGAGAGGGAGAGAGAGAGAGAGAAACATCGACATTTCGTGGCTGCCACCCGCACGACCAACCAGGGCCGGGGACAAACTGCAACCGAACTACATGCCCCCAGCGGGAACCGAACCCAGGTCTCTCTGGCCCGCAGGCCGACGCTCTAACCGCTGAGCCAAACCAGCCAGGGCGTACTGCTATCTACCTTTTGAAGTATTTTATCTTTCCACCAACACTTAATTATCCTGAGAGCAGGGACCAAGTTTGACATCTATATATCTTAGCACAGAATGAAGAAAGGCCCATGGTACAGAAGCTAGTTACAAAGGTTCTTTACTGGCCACCTGTGGTCCGATCTGAAGGTTGGGGGGGAGCAGAAATGGACAAAGAGTCTATTGAACATCATCACTTAGCAGTTCTGCATGTTCCCCAGATCCCTGTCTATGAAGTGTGAGGTGGCATCTACTGCAGCTACAAGCAAACAAGCTGACAGTGGCTTCTGACGGTGGGCATGAGGGATTCCTGATTATGCAACAAACAGCAAACATGGGAGTGTTGGAAGGCTCTTGATTTTCCAACATCACCACTGGTCCTGTCTCTTCGTCTGGCTCCTAGACTTGCTTAAATCACCATCTGACCACCTTAAAACTCAGCCAGGAGAATCCTGAGAGGTATGTGGCTGAACACCCTCTCTTTCCTGCCCTGTGCCTATTTCAGCCTGGAATGGGGCCACATTTGGGATACTCCTTTGTCTCTTGGTCCTGGCTCAGTATGTGCTGTCTTCATGTTAGCTGGTTCTGGTTCCTTATTGGGTCCAGGCACTGTTTTTTTGTTTGTTTGTTTTTTGCCACAAGTACTGATCTCTAACTAAGTAGTCATTGGTGTTTCTGGTTCTTGTCTCAAAGTGTTTTTAATTGATTTCCACGAACAATTCTAGCCATGACACAGAGCATGGAAATAATCTAAAATCTCACTTAAAAAGAGGTGCTGATCTTGGCTGGAAGGAGATGCTGCTCCATCTTATATGTCTAAAGTACTATAATAGTTATACTCTGGACTTTGAGCCTTGGATCTTGTGGTTTTCACAGTGTTTGGCACTGTGGACTTATTCACAGTCTTCAATCAATGAATAACACATGATGAGGGTAGGTGACATAAAGTGGTGGCCCAAGAAGGAGAAAATCAATCCAACCAGTGAAGGGTTAAATTAAGTCTGGTCCCAGGTATGTACTGCTTATGAGTCCACTGAATAAATCAATGTTAAAAAATACTCTCCCTCTCTGAACACAAACCATGACCATGGACGTCTCAAAATCTGACTTATTTGCTGCAGAAGAATAGATGAGTCAAAGGCAAACCAGCTTAATACTTCTCCTACAAGAAATAAAAACCATCCCTGGCTGAAAACAATGCTGTATTCATTTTGCATTCAGATCAACTACCCTGAAAACTTAAGTTTTCACATTCCTGAAGAATAAGAACAAATCAGCCTCTTTAAGTGGTTTTGCATTATTAGAATCTGCTCAGGAGAGAAGAATCATTAAATTTCTCTCTGAGAGAATCAAGTAACAGAAAAATTGTTCTAGTTACTCTGGTATATGTTTGATATTTTATTGCGTTGATATTGTTCCCTGTTACTGTAACTATAGATCCAAGGCTATGAAATCAGCCTCACCACCAGATAACACTACAAAATCATCTTGGAGCTAATTTCAAAAGATCATTCCTTCAAATCTTTAAAACCAAGTTCTTCTGAAACTAGAAGTGAAGTTAATTTTAGGTCGACATGGATTTCATAAAAGCAAAATCCTTTAATGTTTGTATTCAAAAATTCATGTGTCTGAGCAGTTTTGGTTGAATGATGATAATAAATATTACAAAAAGTTAATTTCACTTATCCAGGCTTTCTAACAGAAAGTTCTACAGCTTCATCTCAAGCATAGTGGAATATTTTAGCTCAGCTTGACAACACAAGCAGGACTGAGTATAATGATGCTCAGTCATCAACTGGTTGCATTGTTATAAATAATAAGAAGTGTGTGTAGCCATGCTTCAGGTCAGTTCCTGCTAATGTCACTTTGTCCTTGTTCAGGTTCCTGGAATGTATTCTATGGTCATAAAATCCGTTGCGTTTTATTCTTATCCCTTTGTTCTTTTATGCAACTGTGTTGAAAACACTAGATACTGTTTTGTTATTTTATTTCAAAATGTTCCCTCTCTTTCTCTACACCATAAAGAAATCTTTTCAGTAGAACTAAGTTGAAAATACCCTAGTAAGTCTGCATAAGTGTGGCACAGATGACACTGCTGTTATTCATGGGGTTATCCCGCAGAACATCCTGTTCTTCATTATGTGTACAGGAGGAGGCATAACAGGGCCCCATTGCTGTGCTTGCCTTTGCAATCTACATGGTCAGAAGATCTCACCCTAACACCCACAGGGAGTGTGTAATCCTTCTGTAAAATGCAGTAGGAAGAAGGGGGGAAGCACTATAACAAGTAGGTGTCAGCACTAACTTTGAAGTCAGACCCCCTTTTTAGGATGCATGGTAGATGGGGAAAATCAATCTCTTTATAAGACTCATCTCAAAAATGGGAACAATAATTAGGTATCATGAGGTTTAACAAACAATGGATATAATGCTCTTTACACAGTATCTGGCATATGGCAAATGATAAATAAATGTTTCTAGTGCTCAGCACAGGGCAGATATCAATAGATACTGGTTGAATGAGTGAGTGGATGAACAAATGAATAAAAGGACAGTTAGCCAGATAAGTAACTGTTTTATGTTCCCAGTATATAGTCCTCTCCTCTGAACTTAAACTTCTGCTTAAAAAATGCAATAGGCTGTGCATGGTAAGATCCAGGAATGTTGGATAAAGTAGATTTGCTGTCATTGTCTCATAGGAGAAAGAGCAATGACTTGGGCCAATTCCACGTGCCCTCTGCTAGCAAAACTCCCAAGCCAGTCTGCAGGTATCAGGTCAGCAGTTGGAGGACAAGGTTGAACCCTCACTAGGGGATCATTATTGACAGGATCCAATTAAAATGAAAATAAGGTTACAGGCCCTGCTTGCAGTGCCTCCGTGGGCAGCAGATATAGTTTGATTTTACCCTTCCCTCATCCTCATCCAGAGTCATGACCAGGTTCTCTTGTTCTGTCTTACACACTCAAGGGTTACTGGTTTCAAAGCCTGAACTTCTAGTCTCTACACTTTTAACACTTCCAGACCAACTCAGCACCTTGCTCCTCTGACCCTCCACTCAGAAATAGCTCATTGCTCTTGGTGGCATCTAGGTGAGGAAACTGGGGCATGAAATAAGAGAGGGCTCCCTGGACCCCAAGATCAAAAACTCTCCAAGACCCCTCTCCCAAGCATCTTTCCTCTTCCAACACTATCTTTCCCCAACTAAGAAAGTGACCAGAAAGGGGATGGCAGGCAAACATCCTCAATGGCTCTCTGACTGGTTACAGAGTAAGACAGGTCTAAAAATCTCAGCTTTACATGCCAGAAAACCTTTACACCAGAAATATTGGTCTCAGTTAAAGGCCCTGATACTTTAATGCTTCTGGAATCCTTCTGTGGAAGGTTTTCTTAAACCATTTTATAGTGATCCTTTTGAGACAAAGGAAATAGTTTTTCACTAACCTTTTTCTTTCTGACTACTGTTCAGCTTTGGGGACATATTTCAGTTCACTTTTAATATTCTGGATCTCCGATAGGTTGACTGCAGGTCCTGGAAGTTTCTTTGCTCCTGGTATTGGCTTCTTCTCCTCATCCGAGGTGGGAAGAGCACCCTGAAGAGAAAGAAAATAAAGAAGAGAGATTCAGCTCGCTGGAAAAGACAATTGGTCTCTCTGGGTAATGGACATTAAAAAATTAAAGGAAGAATAGTGTCAGAGTATAATTCTAGCAAAGTGACTTTTTCTTTTCTTTTTCAGTTTAATTTTGGTATACTTTTGCCATTTTTTGTTTGTTGTTTTATCTTTATTGTTGAAAGTATTACAGATGTTCCCCTTTTCTCCCCCATTGACCCCCTCCTCCCTGCTTCCACCCCCCCCTGCCTTCCCCACACTATTGTCTGTGTCCATTGGTTATGCATATAGAGTAACTTTTTCTTGTGCTGTTGAGACACCCTCAGAGTTTCAAGAAGATTTCCTGAAGTTTATAGAGAAATGTGGAATAAAGTTGGAAGAAGAAAACAAGTAATTTCCACATGACTTAGAAAACACTAGAGTACTATTCAGTGTCTAATTACTAATAAAAATTACTACTTGTTGGAAGGATTCATGTCTCCAAGACAAGCGTCTTACAAGATCAAATTTAATTTGGTATCATATGATTATAATATGCCTGAACAGCACAGATTTGCAGAATGTTAGTGCACAGCTGGCTCTAACAATGATTTAGTCTAGGAGTTTTTAATTTTTTTTTGTTTGAGGTGCAGTGGCTGCCAGCTTTTGTTCCAATGACATCTCTGGAAAGCATAAACAAACTGAAACTGATATAAGCAAAACCTCTTTGAATATGGGTGGGCTAAGATGGAGCAACAGAGGAGGCCCAGCTCTCCCCTCCTACTTTGTAAAGTATTTTAAATTTCCTATCATATTATGTTTTTATTTGTTGCAGCTTTAGGGCAGGACCACATTCTGTACTTTTTTTGTGGCTCCTTCAACACTTGGTAGAGCAGTACACATGCATATTGTTGATTGTTATTTAGCTGATTAACCCTAAGAATATACCATAGTGACAAATCTATGCCTGTATGTACATACACCAAACACACATATTAAAGATGACTATAAAACAGTAAGATCAGTTGCTGTGTGTGGCTCCTAGAATGCTAACTCATTACTACAAAGGAAAGTTGCTTGTTAGCTCATTCCTCCAATTTGCTAGAGGTAAGGGGCATATTCTCTGTGGCCCTGGAAGGAAGATGTTGGAGGAACATTTGATCACCATAGCAGCCAGGAGAACACGCCTCACGGATCAGTTTCCTGCTGGGAGGGTAATTGAATGATGGCCCCAGCTGCTTTGTCCTGAAATCCGCCCATCATCACTCTGAGGTCATGTTTCCCATGGCTGCTCTTGGCCAATGACTGAGTGCCACAGGATCCGAAAGCAGTCCATTCCTGGGAGACTTTGGACTCCTCTAGGAGGGACTTCTGCTGGAAAATTTTCCTTAGAATAGCACCGAGGTATAAGATGCTTCTGCCCAAGCTTCTGCCTCACTCTCCTTCACCCATATCACTGCCTGACAACCCTCCCATTTTCCTTATAAGCATTTTCTCCAATAAGTGTTTTGCACATCTAATCCCATCTTTGGGCCTGCTTATTGGAGGGCCCAAACTAACACAGTCCCAATGTGAGACTGGCAGAGCTCCATCTGCTCAGCCAACAACTAAGTGAACCAATCCAGTTCCCAAGTAAAGGAATAAGAAACCTCACGTTTATTGCCAGCCTAACTAGGCATCCCTGTAACTTGAGTATTAAAGCTGATGCTGTGCCTCCTTCTGGTTCCTACATCTAGTTCTCAAGTTGTCTAGACCCTAATGGGAAACGGAAAAAAAAATGTTCCACCTTCCTAAACTCTAATCAATTACTTGGAAGACATGTCCTTTATAGAAATATTTTTAAATTGCTTATTTGAGTGGATAAGTAGAAATCTAAAATATCAAGGTGCTGTTCTTCTGCCAGGGGCTAATAATTTTTCCTAGAGTCATTTTCTTTGACAATGGCACAGTGCTGATGAATTAGCTAACATATCAGCCACACAAGATGAGAAAGTAATTCAGTGTAAACTGTGACTGTTGTAAATATCTAGAAAATGTACAGAGCCATAGGATCAGCTTCCTTGTGTGTACGCACATTCATCATTTAAAAATGCTGGTTTAGCCCTGGCTGGTTTGGCTCAGAGGTTAGAGCGTCGGCCTGCGGTCCAGAATGACCCAGGTTCGGTTTCCGCTAAAGACACATATCTCGGTTGCAGTTTGTCCCCGGCCCTGGTTGGGTCGTGCAGGTGGCAACCACTCGATGTGTCCCTTTCACGTCGATGTTTCTCTGTCTCTCTCTTCCTCTCTCTCCCTCCCACTCTATCAGAACTAAAAATGGAAGAATGTCCTCAGGTGAGGATTAAAAAAAAAAAAATGCTGGTTTAGAAGCAATAATTAAAATGGCTACACCTCCAGTTGGAGGACTAGGTATTCCAAAATGTTCTTTGCTAGGCTTTTGGAAAGAAAATTTAAACAAGGCTATAAAGTGTTTGGATTTTTTTTAAATATCTGTAGTGATGAAATGAAAAATGATTTATATAAAAATGTTCCCATGGTTGTTAGGTGAGTAGATCCTAATAAAGAAGCATTAAGGAAAAAAGTTTCTAATTCCTTCTGTTAAGTTCCCAGGTAAGTCTCATTCACTGTCTTTGTAATATCAAAATATGCTCTACTGACACATTTAACACCTGAAGCCAATGTGTGCAGTCATGTGTCTGTGTGCAAAAGTTTATTATGTGAATATACACAGATATAGCATGATAATATTTAATACTAGTCACTTTCCTCTCAAGTTATTAAAACCTCAGTGCACTGTGCTTTTTATTTATCAAGGTAAGACTTTTAGCACTTGATTTGGCAAGGTCATGTGTAATGTAAAATTATAAGTGGATATATTTAATAAGTAGATATTATGATATTAACTCAGGAAGGGGATTAGTGGTGGTACATATTCTTAACTAAATCTTCTTTCATCTTTCAAAAAGAATAGCAATCTATGAATTTTTATTATAAGAATTGTAATAAATTAAGGCATGAACAAACAGGGTTCCAGTTGACTCCATTTGACTAATAAGTACATTTTTTTGGCAAGTAGATATCTGAATTGAGAAGGTACATGGAAGACATTGTTTGATTTAGATAAAAATAGCTGGAGAGAAGGCTTATCAGCACCAGACCATTTCCAGATTCAGGAATGGCTGTTTGTCAAGGGAGATATTCACTTTGGGGAAGATGGAGTATTTGTAAAATTTGGTGCAATGGTGAACCATTTTCCAGCTATCTGACCTTCGTGACTTGATGCCCTATTGGGTTTTCCCCTAAATCCTCCTATGTGCTCATTCATGCTCAGACACTGAAGACTTAATTATAACAGTAAACACTTATATTGCTAACTGTTCTAAATTACACATACTAACTCATTTAATCCCCACATCAACCTATAAATGTGGTACTATTATTATCTGTAATCTACAGTTGAGGAAACTGAGGCACAATGGCCACACAGCTAGGATGTGGTGGGACCAGAATCAAATAGTGTGTATGCATCTTGTAAAGGGACCAGATGGAGAGGGAAATAATTAACAGGAAAATCCCAGCATGCTGTTTTGTGGCTTAAAAAATGGAATTTCAGTCAAAAGAGATTTGGTAGGCAGAGTACGGGCTTGTCAATATCTTTCAAATCACTTCAAATAAGCAGCATGCAAAAGACAAGCTATGTTTACTAGGATTTGGCTGTTAGGCCTCTGTGTTGGACACATGCCAAACTCTAGCTGGGCTAAGCGGATGGAGGGTACACTCCTACTCTGCAGAAACCATGGGGATGTTGGAGATCCAACCACTACTCACAGGCCTTGTCAACCAGCCCAAGGCTGGTCCTAGCTTCCTACTGGGGTACATCTTCTTCTTCATATCTGAGATGGTATTGGGATTGAGATGGGGGAGCTAATGGCTGTGATAGAGGTATTCTGTTTGTCCAGGGATGGTATGTTATGATCTCTGCTTTACCCAGTGATTATCACAATGCAAGGCTAAGCAAGAAATCCTAAATCTAACAGGGTAAGCAGTTCCATATTTACAAACTAGATAATAATGAAAAGTGTAGCTGCAAGTTATTTGGATTTCAGATTCCATTTTCCCATTCAAACTATATCACAAAAGGTGGCTGGGCCCTCAAGCAAGCCCACAAAATCCTACTAAACTCACCTTGTAGCCAAACCAAGCTGCCTAACTGATCCCCTGACAGTGTTGTTTCCATGAGAAACTTACTGTAAGATCCAGCCCAGAACTTGAGTTATTACATCCCACCCTTCCCTAAGACCCCACAAGTCTTGAGAGATAATTTCTGCTCTTACAATAAGAGAATACAACCCCTAATTCCACTCTCCCAACCCATGAGCCCCAAGGGAAAGGGGTAGCTCAATTCAAGAAACACTCCTGGGGCCTCTGTGGATACCTCCCTCACCCCTTTCCATCCTGCGAAAAATATTGGTTGGCTGCTTGTATACATAGCTTGTCATAAAGTGTTCATAAACCAGGTTGTATCAGTTCCTGTCTATTTTAGAATGTACTGGAACCATCATCTTGGGAACAAGGCAGGAGTGAGAGCACAGTGCTTCCCCAACCCCCTAACTGAGACAGAAGGCCATCTGTACCACAGGGGGAAGCTGAAATGCAAGCCTTTAAAACAACTGGTACATCAGTCAATTTAGTGAGAAAAGTGGGTCAAGCTACCTTCTGACTAATTGCCATAGTTGTGAGACACAGCTTAAGAGGAAGCACAGGAGAAAACCTAATTACAGGTAAATGGAGGTGTAGGAAGAATTCCACTGCCCATCCTTCTACCTCCCCATGCCTTTTTCTTACAACATGCATAATAATAGGCCCAGGAGTCCTTCGTGAAAACTGGATAAACATCATTTGAACAATTATTTATTGAATACCTGCAATGCTGTTATATCACCAACTTTTTCCTCACAGTGACTCTCTGAGGAATGGAGGGGATTGTATTTTGCAGATATAGACTCAGAAATACTTGACCAAAATCCCAGAGAGAGAGAGCTCATGATCATTAGTTAACTGGATGGCTAAATTAGTAGCATCAGAGCTGGAGAATATGTAGCATAAGAAAAGGGGTCCGGTCGGGTCCTTTAAACTTGTATGTTTAAATTTTCTACTCATCAAAAGTGACTTAGTGGCTAAAATTCCAGAATTCGGTGATATCATTCAAATACTCCAGTTCCTCCTTTCAAAAAATATATTTCTATTGATAAGAGGCTGGAACCAGTAACTCAGAACCACATCGGGAATTATTTACTGGGGAGGGGTAGATGAGGGACAACCAAAGTTTTATTAGGAAACTTTGGAATGATCATACATGTTCTTTTGGACAATTACCAAAAATGTCACCTACAAAAGTTAAAACAGCCTTTTCACCTTTTTAAAAAAATAAAATACAGTTTGCTATTCCCTATGACTTCATTTAATTTCATTTTCCTTGTCTTGTGTTAAAGACATACTCCAAAACCCAAAATTGTTTTTTAGAACCAGACCTTCCAGGTTTTATCAGAAAAGTCACAATTGGGGATAAAATATAAATGTTTGGGGAAGGAACTTCTCTGTATTTATTGTACTCATTATCAATTTTAGCCTCCACTTTATAAGACCACATATTTGCTTTTGGAGGGCAGGTAAAGAATTAGAGGGAGAGAAAAATGCAGAAATTGATAGACTCCCTTGCAAAGTCCTTTTTTTTCCCTAAGGAAATACCCAGAGATTGGAGCTCTTTGTTTGAATCCGCAAGTAATTTAACATGCTTATTACCTGTGCTCCCACTGGGGTGCATCACTCATCAAAATCTGTACTAAAGACATCTTGTTTGGTTTAGTAAAATCTCAGAGTAAAAACTTACCAAGCTAGGGATTGTTGTGGACCAAGAGCATCTGGAAGGCTATATTCCCCCTCCCTATCCCCACCTACACACAGACACACACAATCAATCAACAAACTACATGTTAAACTCATCATCTTCCAGTAACTGTGCTAGGCACATATATATATATATAATGCAATGACTCCTTGAGCCAGGTCCTTTGGTGCCCTCCCTTGCCCTGGAGAGCCAACCCTCAATGTGCCTCTGTCCAACACTAGTCAGGATTTTGGAGGAAAGACAATGCTGAGCTCTGCAGCTAACTTTTCCTCACCTCCTCACTTTCTGGAGTACATTCTTTTTTTCTGGGGGGTTGCCCAGCTCCTGGCCGAAAGGCTCCCATTGGGATATTGATATTTGCCTAAAAGAGAAAATAGGGAAGATTCAGCTCAAGAAAAGTAAGAAATTGTAATGATACTGAGTCGGTAATCGTTGTGAGAAAAAATGCATCTGAAAATTACATCTTTAAAGCTTTTTACCTCAAGAAAATTGCTGTAATGACAGTACAAAAATGTGCAAAGGCAAATTTAACTTCCATTTATTACACATTTCTGCTATTCATCCTTAGATCTGTGCAGTGATTTCACAATTCTCTATTCAATGGTAGAATTTGAAAACAGTTTGTTCTGGCTGTTGCCCTCCTGTGGTGCTTAATATTTTTCTCTCTCTGGGATGAAGAAGGAACACATAATGATAGGAAAGGAAGAAACAGCATCCTCAGAAGCCATCCCACACCTTAACCATCCTTCAGTTTCCTTCAGATTTACTATGGGAGGGGAGCAATCACACCGCCTAAACTGCCTCCTCCTTTTCATAATGTCCTAGAGCTGTCCCAGCACTTTTTTAAGTCTCTATAATTGACACTTTTCTACCTTATTCCTAACACACCATTGTGTAAAAAGAGTGCTGGAAAGTCAAGTTTATAGATTCCTGTCATTCATTAAAATAACACTAATCTCCATCCGCAGTTAAAAAAAAAAATCCCTTCTAGTAAACATGAGCTATGCTAAACCTTAAATTATGCAATGAATATGCTGACATAGTAATTTGAACTTGGTGAAAAGAATATGTAAACTTGAATTTTGTCCCTATTTCATCTGATATCAAAAAGCAAAAATGTTTAATGCAAACCAGAAACATCTTCAACCAGGATATCACTCACATAAAACAAGTATTGAAACTTTTTTTTAAGGTAGAACATATTTTTTCCACTTAACATAAAGTGTTCATTGCCTTATGAGTAATTGGATATGTGGGCTTGAAAAGTTAAAATTGCACTTTGATGTTATGCATGAAAATGATGCCTGAGCAGAGAGAGTGAAATATTTTACTTTTTGACACATTTTGGATGATTTTGATACCACACCAAATAAAATTATTAGGAAGTGTGGTAAGGTCCATTTGGAACAGCCTGATATGAGATCTGTTGCTGGGGGAATGTTTAACTCAAGACACAGGAAATATCCAGTGTCCATGTTCAGGCAACATGGTGGGTCTGCTCTGCTCCTGAGAGCAGGAAGCACCTAGGGACTTTCCCTACTAGAATAATGCTGATCCCACAGAAAGGAAACAGATCCAAAGTATTTGTGGTGGGTGTCAAGAGAGGTACATCACCATTCCCAGGGTCAAGAAGCCAAGAAGTATTTTTGATCAGTATGTACCATATATGCTAAAATATAAGGGCAGCACAGTTTTGGAGGGAAGCATTTTGGAAAACCTAATACTTATCCTTCTAAGCTCTTCCTCTGCTTAATGGAAATATCAGGTGGCATAGAGTGGGAGGAGGAGGGAGCATAAGATAAGGGGGAAAATGTCTTATATGGTGGCAAATATGGTAGCATACTTCATGAATTCCAAGATGCACTTCTTTTAATATCTCTGAAATAAGAATGTGTCATTACAGCATACTATCTTAAAATTTTAATTGGCACATTTGTTTTATTTCTTAGCAGGACATAAAATAACAGTATTTTATAATTGCCCATCACAGATTGGATGAAATATCATTAGGGTCCTGAAATAAAATCAAAACAATGTAAATAAGACCCACAGAAGATTATCTCTGTTGAATCAATAACTATTTCCATTATATATAAATAACTATAGAAAACTTGGTGAAAGAGAGAGAAAATCCATATAGGTACTATTTGGGAGACAGTTAACTGGTTAGATCACCATTACCCTGACCCATTTAACAAGTTTCTACAGAAGGCTTCTTCCCAATGATGAGTGCAAGTTAACATTGTTTCTGAAAGATCTGACTGATAAACTAACCCATTTAATAAAGTATGTATGCTCTATACTAGGTTGTAGTTTTCAGTAAAGGAACATGTAAAAGTCATCCAGAATAATGTATCAATAAAGGACATGCTATGGGAATACCAACTTTACTCACTCAGGAGTTAATTTTAGCCAAGCACGTAGCTTCTCCATGGTATATGGGTGCTTTATAGTAGTGAAAAGAGCCCAATGTTAGGAGTTGCTACATATAATCTGTACTTGAAAAAGTGACAACTGCTCTGGGGCTTATCTTCCCCATTTGTAATATGAATGTTAGGGTTCATAAATAGTTTTCAAACTTTTAGCCATGGAGCCCTTTCTTCAAATAAAGTATTGTAAGAACATCTCAAATGCAAACTAGGTGGAGGTGGAGCTGCTCTGACTGAGCTGGTAGAGACCCCAGAATCCCATCTGTTTCCTCCAAGCCCAGGACCATGAGCAGTTCCTTGAAACTTGGGTAGCCAATCTGATAATCATTGAAAGAGATCACTGACATATACTTAAAATATTTTCTCTGCCTATTGTTAAATTGTCTGTAATTTATTTTAAACTACTTTAGCATAGATAGGGTGATATTTTATATATGTGCAGTTTGGTTTAAACTGCAACTCTGGGGATATCTATTGCTCTAATTGGGAGTTCATCCTCCTGGGGTGGTTAGATAGTAAAATATCACTAAGACCACATTCCCAGGATTGCTTCTTCAAGTGCTTCTGTTACTAATATCTCCACCAACACCTGAGCCCTCAATGCTTGAAAAAAATGTATAAAAAACAGGTGAAATAATGGAATGAGCATTAGAAATGGCTTTTATTAATGAAATTAGAGAATGTTAAGATATGGAGATTGGTTAAACTATTTTAGAGACAACCCCCACCCTGCTGAACAGTGTAAGGATCTGATGCTGTAGCTTGCATCTTCAGAGACAGAGTTCTAGCAGTGATCCCCAAATAGACCTGTCTCCAGCCACTGATAATGAGGATTTCCAGCTGGCTGCTGCCAACTAAGGGCAACAGAATCCCCACCTGCCTCACGTGATCCTTTTATGCGAGGCAGCAGTCATTTGGAGCACTTAAAGGAACAAGAGCTGAGGCTTCATCAAGCTCACAGACAGACTGTATAAATGGTTTTATGCTTACTTGCTAAATAATGTGTGTTTAACAAATGCCTGTGTTGTAGCAGAGTTGGGTTTGAGGCTAGCGTTCATCTTAACCAGGGGGTGAGGTTGTGGGACAGTAATTACTCACCTCCCATGCCCATCTACCACAAACTACCTTACCCCTCAAACCCCAATATTTAGCCTAGTCATCACAACACCTACATCCTCACAACAAATTTCTTAAGTTTGGACTATCACCTTCATTTTACTGATGAAGCCCTGGCCAGTTTGGCTCAGCAGTTAGAGCATCAGCCTGAGGTCCAGAGAGACCCGGGTTCGGCTCCCGCTAAGGGCACGTACCTCGGTTGCAGTTTGTCCCCCAGCGCTGGTTGGGTCGTGCGGGTGGCAGCCACTCGATGTGTCCCTTTCACATCGATGTTTCTCCCTCTCTCTCTCTCCCTCCCACTCTATCTGAACAAAAAATGGAAAAATGTCCTCGGGTGAGGATTTAAAAAAAAAAAGACATTTTACTGATGAAGAAGAAATTGAGCCTCAAAGAGATTAGATTATTCTCAAGGTCACATAAACAGTTCCAGCAAAATCCAGGATTTCAGAGTGAAAACCTCGGGGACAGAACTTCACTCTATAAAACCCTTCTCCAAAGAGCTCTTTTCATTTGACCAAAGCTCTAGCCACTCTAAAAGTCACTAAACTTGCTGGAACATAATGAACAAAATAAGCTGTTGACCAAAAGAGATCCAGAGTCATATAAGTAGGGAACAGACTGACAAACCTCAGAGGGATGGGGGGTGGGAGGGCGGAAAGAGATAAACCAACGAACTTATATGCATCTATGTACAACCAGTTGACACAGACATTAGGTTGGGGAAAGCAGGAGGGGGGTGGGAGCGGGAAGGAGGGGGTCAATGGGGAACAGGGGGGAGGACATCTGTAATACTTTCAACAATAAAAATAAAATAAAATTGCAGCCTTACAGTTTGAGAATGGCCTTGGAAAGTAGCACACAAATGGATAATTCCAGCATAGGTGTCAAAGAAAAGCCACCTTGAAAAATGAGCCATTAACTCACTGACTTGATGCTTTTTCATCTTGAAGGCATCACTTAAGAAACTAAGAACCTAAATGGGTTTTTTGACAGCAAATATTGACAGGATCCAAAGGAGTCTAAGAATGTGGAGTACCCAGTCATTAATGTACACCTGAAGGGAGTGTCAGAGGTGTGCTTGTAAATGTTTAGAAATGATTCATTAATATAATTGTAGGGCAGTGATATTTGAGGGACAAATTATAAACTAAAGTATAGCCATAAGAAAAATTCCTCATAGCTTGAATTTGATAGAAATATGTACACTTGTAGGTTTGTTTTTATTCCATTGGCCAGACAATTGTCATATTCTTGTGTCTTACATAGACTTCCTCTTTTTGAATGTAAATAAAATACCTTCTCAGTGATTCAATTTTTCCATCTGCAAATTGGGTATATTTGCCACTCAAAATGATTTTTGGATATGAGCTACTTTTTTGTGAAAGAATAAACAAATGCAGAAAAAGTCTAACATTAATGACCTGGAGTTAATATAAGGTTAGACTTCCTTTCTATATAGAATCTGTATAAATGTAAAGGAGGCAGGCTTTTGTTTTTTCCTTTTGTTTATTTGTTTGTGTAACACATCTTCTTGAATTTATTTTCCCTCCTTGAGGTTTGTTCATCTTAGATGTTTTTAAATAGGCCCCTGACACAGCAGACCCAGTGCATCACCTTCCCAAACTATACATAATTTGTTACATCCTCGAAGTTGGGAATGGAAAAAAATCTACTAGATCATCTTTTGCCAGAACAGGATACAGTTCCCTGATAATAGACCTATCTGATGTGAAATGAATACTACACTTGATCTCACCAGGTGAAAAAAGCAGAAAGAATTCCCTGTAAGTTAATTCCACTACTCCCTTAATTATTT